TAACGAATTACAGAGATTCATTTTCTGGTTCATTGATAAATGATGCGTTACACACGTAGGTAAGTGAAATATTTTGCGTTTCTGTCATTTATGGGTCAACATAAATTGCATATTTGGCACTTGTTCTACTAACGATTATCAGAGAATATGTATTTCCGTACATGATTTCCGCCCACATAGGCGTCTATAAATAGTTTTTATTCAGTTATTATATTTTAAATAACAGTTTTATTACAGACTATCGCTATCTGAGGAAATGTTTAGTAGTAGTATTCTACCGAAAAACGTGGAAAACATCATAAATTAAATTTAAAAAAAAAACGAAGCAGACCTAATTGTTGCCGAAAATTTAAAAGTTAAACAAGAAAAGAAATCTGTCTGATGTAACTATTAACTTTCAAAAGTACAAATACCTCGGTCTCTATTCGACTATTATTGTATTTATTTAATACCTTTCTAAAAAATTAATTGTAAGCGATTTTGCTTTTAATTTATATAAAGGCCTTAATAAAAACAGAAAACTGCTTGTAGTTACACCACGTATAATCTATTTTTGTTGTTATTTCGTGGTACTCGAATTGATAAAACATTTAAAGAAACCAATAACCAAATATAATTGAATAAATAATACAAGAAACCAATAACCAAATATAATCAAATAAATAATACAGTAATTGCGGTATTTGTACCAATAGATTCCTTAAATTCCTTGCGTAAATCACTGAATCTTTTATTATCTTCTTATGTATGCCATATGTCGATGAAGTTTTTCAGGTTCAAATAACTTAAACCTAAAAATTCCAATATATGCAGCTGCAACTAAAGGATATATTTGTAGATTTCAGAATTGTTATGAATTTTTGTTTATTTAATCAGTTTTCCTTTGGCATCCAAACCTGAAAGAAGAAAATTATTACTTAAGAAGAAGCATTGAACTCTAATATAAGTAAAATTGTTTAGCATTACCTGTTTGAAGTCTTAGTGCTAGTTCTTTAGCGTTACCCAGGGTGCACCACGAGGAGGCGAACTAGCTTTGCACCCCATATTAAATATTAAACATAGCATCCTTTATTTTCTTCGTAGATTATGTCGGGCATTCTCGCAATTCTTTTGACTGCTGACCAAAGTAATTCATTATCCTAGAATTCCAAATAGAAATCCAATCGATTTATGTATTGCATGTACATCATACGCGTTTGAAGTTTCCTTACTCGTGAAAATGTTTTTTTTTTTTGGATCACGAAAAACATTTTCTTGCACATACTTTTCAATATATCTTATTCATGATCTGATTTACTGTATATACATATAAATATAAGTGTCTGTAGTATTTTGTTTTCTTTGTACAGTACTTTCCAGTTTGATTTATTTTAAAATAAACGAAAGAAATAAATCATCATGTCTGAGCCAATTTGAATTTCATCAGGCCTAAAAATGCCAAAACAAACAACGTAACATTATCCGCTGCTTGTTTTGGCAAATTTTTATTTGAAAAAATTAACACTCCCACACACCATGTGGAAGATGTAAGAATTCAATTAAAATTCTGTTAGACAACTACAAATTATCAAAGAAACCAGATGAATAATCCCAACATATAAATAGTCTACGACGATTGATATAAAGTGAGAAAATATTGAATAAATTTAAATGAAGACTCAAAGTTCGAATCATCTGTAAACATCAAATGTGTTTCGAATTTTGTATACTTTCCAAGTCATTTAAATTTTGTTATTAGATTCATTCACCACTTA